GTTGCTCTGATCAACAACGCTTCTTTGACCTTGCGGGAAAGATATTGTTGTTCCCGCGTGACGCCTTTCAGTTTGTCCCATAAGATGTTGTGATGATGGGTCATATTACCTATTCACACAAAAACAAATTTTATCTAATGCATTTATTTAGAAATGGCATATTTGAAAGATTATGTTAATGAGTACAATAATTACCATGCTTCACCCCTATATTAAGCCTAAAAAAAATTCATAGATTTCCGTTTCAAAAAGTTCTTCGAGTGTGATACTTCAGTTACGACTTTTCATTAGCCACCATGGCGCTTCAATTCGTCACGAGGGAGAAGGGAAAACGAACTTTTAGTGGAGGGTCACAGTGGTTATACTGGTTAGTGACTTTTAGTGGTTATTTTTCTAAGAAAATCAAGCCGGCCATTCATACTGGAGGTGTGAGACGTATCAGAAGCACAAGTGCCGGGTTTCTTATAATAACAGTGGGAGATGCCTTTGGAACCGTGAAGGGAGTTCACAACCATATCGCGGATACAGCTCATTTAGAAGCTTTGAAGATGGAAGACGTTGTACGTGGTCGTGCAGTGAATAGCCAAGAAGCACCCTCAATATATAATATCTAATACGTCTGTTGGACTTAGCTGCTCAAAGCTAGGATTTTTTGGCCTAAAGAAGACATTAGGTACAGACCAAGGCCTCGGACCAGCTTACCTCCTTAGTGACCTTCTATTGTGTTGTATTCTGATGAATGGTATTCATGTTCTATTTCAGTTTTTAATGTCGTTTATAACACAGCGTGTCTATTTAAGGGTTTCGTTTAGGAACGTGAAGGATTGTTTTTTGCCAGAATTGACTCCCATGAAAAACAGGTTAGTTCACTATTTACAATAATGCATGTTTAAGAAGCTGGTATCTTTGCAGTTTCGATTAGATGGAAGATTGTGGCATAGAATAGGTGTTAGAATAAATCTATTATGTAAACTAGCAGGGCATTTCTCGTGAAAATTGCGTAAGATCTGCGCACTCCTGCGATCGCCCTCGTTTACTCTGCTGCAGAAGACTGCTTTCCAGTTTGGAATCATCACGCGAGAAAATTGGGTGTACAGTTCACTGAAGCAGTGTGATTCCCGACTGAATCCCTTAACGCAACTCCATCATAATGGCTATTTACATTACGTCTGCGCACGTCAGAAACCTAAGCAAATATTTCGCACCATGAGAAAAGTCTTTGCGAAACAAACAGCCAGCTCCCTATCCACAGTGTCCTCAAATACCCGCTGACATATCGTCTTAAACCATTCCTTCAGCTGTGAGAATGAGCGAGCGCTCAAACATACGGTCAGCACGATCAGATTAAAGATGCGCGACCATTAAAAACAAACATCTTTTTTCCTAACTGCACCAAGGAATCGCCGGATATGAGGCTGCGGCTTATCGCGAGGCCTGATTTGGACTGAATGGCGTGGATGCAGTCGTCACTTTGCCCGCTTACCGCAGAAAAATGAAACCAAGTCCAGGTCATGAAGACAAGACCGCAGAACGTGTTAACTCCTCGGAATTCCGACGGTATGATAACCGATATTCACAGCACGATGTTGGAAACCACCAGCTGGCCCAAAATACTTGACATTTCACTATAAACTTGCTATTCACATTGGAGCCATATGGTAGACGAGGAGAACAGTGTCGACTATTTTCCAGCTTCTAATGACAGTTTAGAGCTTTAATAATTATACTTTTCCGGTCCATAAGAAACAGCGCTTAGTGCTTAAAAATCTTTCTTTTGCAGCGTTTGCGCAAATGTTTTTCTTCGGTGCTTCTCAGGATTCACGTTTCTGATCTGCAATTAAGTTTTTTAGATTTGTATTTTTCTTTAGCTACTTTTACTGTAGTTCGATACTGTATTTAAGCTATTCATTCTTAGTTTGTTAGTGTGTTCTAGGTTTGCTTTTCTGTCTGTGTTTTCGTCCTTCAGAGTTATATCTGCTGCTTAGCGTTACTGCTTTATTTCTTCATTACGCGTTCAAAAATGCAGACACGCATTCATATGTGACCATCTTTAGGTACTAGTTGCAAGTTTGCCTTTTTGACTGCTGTTCTTCAGCTTTGTTGTGCAGTTCTTCTGGCAAGTTGCATTGGCGCGATAGTTTATTCTGCTGTCTTATGTCATGGCTTGTTAGATTAGCATCTCAGTAGGTTCAGATTTGGACAGGAATTGTAACATTTTGTTGTCACGTATATTTCATCCATAATCAGTCATTAGTTCATTCAAAATTTTCGCAGCCTGCTATTGATTTTGGCTTACTAGAATATCAGCTTTAGAAAACAGTTTCAGTATTCCGGATCACGGGCCAATCTATCACCCGCCAGGCACTGGATTTCAATGCTTAATTCTAGTTTCCGGTCTTTTTGGTTGCCTGCTAGGTGGCTGTGAAGGAAAACCGTTTTTGCGAGTTTTCTCTGTAACATTTTGGTTGCGTAGCCAAATTGGTTTATATTGAATGAAGCCTTTGTAATGAGTATACCAGTGGAGCAATACGTAAAGGAAGGAAGACGAAGCGTCAGTGCACAATAGATCGAAGGTTTGCTAAGGACCTGTATATTTAAGTCTGCATGCGCTCTTGGGAGCCTCTTAGAGTTTTATCGTCACACATTTAGTGCGAAAGGTAGCTGCGCAGATATTGTGGCAGTTATTGCTGGTAACTGCTAATCCCATTGGGCAACAGTGTGACCAGTGGAGAACAGTTCGATATAACGTACTGGTTGGAACTGTATAGTATGGTTGTAGCCAAGCTTTGAGCGCATACTTTAAGTGGTTGCAATGCAGTTGACAAACCTTATTGACTGTCCATATCCTCGACACAAGATGTATTACATTCATTTTAAAAGGTGAATATCACGCTGAAATTCCCCGGTATTCGTCGATTTTGAGGAGGTTCGTCTCAGTCCACATCCGTTCTGGATTTGAGGAATTAGGACATCGATAAAAGATAGAAAAACCTCATCGCCATAATTTATGAGAATGTATCTGCTAGTGAGAAACTTCACTAAATGACAAGCAACTTCAGAATCGAAAAGGGCTTTGGACTGGATGATGTAATGTCAGTGAAAAGTTTTCAAGGCAGTCCATTGGGAATATCAGAGGCTGAAGATGAATAGGTACAATTAAAGTCACCAGTGGTTTGCCGACAAAGTTCTGATTCACTTAATGTAGCCAAAAAACTTCTAAGACGAATTCTAACGCTGAACGATGCCAACAGGAAACTGGGACTTTAAATTTATCTGAGGAAGACTCAGGTCATGTTTAACAAATACTTGACCCCATGACCTGTTGAGGCAAACAGATTGAAGCTGAAGAGCGAAACTATGTTTACCGGGGACAGCTCGCCACTGTAATGGAGAGATCTGCAAAATAAGCAAAAGATTAAAAATGGCATGGAGCATTTCTGGAAGGTTGAGAATTTTCTTATCCAATAAATTTTCTTTGTTCTCGAAATTTCCTGAAGTTTTCGACCAATATATGTATTCAGTGCTAATCGATGGATACGAAACGTGGACCCTACACCTGAAAGCTATTCGCCAACAGCAGATTGCGCAACCCATGATGGAAGAATGTGTTGGGGGTAACAAGAATAAGTGGAGGAAGATGGGAAGTCGAATAAAGGGGTAACAACATAAATCCAGTGTCACTTACGTCATTGTTTGAGTGAAGAGGTGGAAGTTTCAATGTGCAGGACTTGCTGCAAGAAGTGACCATCGCTAGACTGGAGAAACTTTGTTCCGAGAGAGCGTAAGCGTTTTTTAGGAAGACTTCCAGATCTATGACAGAATGAGCTTACGAAGTTTGTTGAATTAAGATGAATCAGAAAATTATGGCAAAATCTTTGCGAAACCTTGGTCCAGCAGTGGATCGAAAAGCCTTATTATAAATATTATGCCGTAAGTGATGATTATTTCTAGTTCATGTTTTGTTTAAATCGTAGTTGTTTAAATTGTAGTTGAAGTTTTTTTGAATTGTGCATTACTGGAGTTTTATTGCACAGTTCTGGGTTTTTGCTTAGTTGAAATTTCCAGAAGAATTTTCTAGTATTTGGTCGATTTTGAGTATTTTTTAGACGAATACACGATGTAACTACATTATGTTGTAAATTCTGCGTTTGCAGTCAGTTGTAACTTAGCTATGACCTAGTCGCCGTTTTCCCTTAAGTACTGCTTAACTGCTGCTACCATTTAATAGTTGTTTAGTAACAGATAGCTTTAATAAAACGAAAGTTCACGGAAATCAGCCTTTGTTGGTTTGGCTATATGTGAAACGCAGTTTAAAGGACTGCCTAGAAAATGCAGTACGATTGTTGATAATACCAATGAATAGAAGATAAAGAAGATCTAAAAGGGATGACGTAATGCAATTAATTTTAGAGTGACTGAGGACTTGGCAAAGATAGAAGAACACGGAAAAAGTTGGCTCATTCAGCTAGTCTCAATTCAACGAAATTCGCTGGGAGAATGTAGACTACCAGTCAAAGTTATGAACGTTTTTTAAATTTTCAGTGATTTTCATGTAAGATGAATTATCTTAATAAATAATTTCATTATTGTGCTAGCAGATTGTTGAGATACCGTGTTTACAAGTAGTCGGAGAGCTTCGTTAAAGAGTATAGAATGATTGATTTGAATTAAGTTCTTTAATTTAGGTTTTATATTATGAAGACGAACTGCTGCAGACCTTAGCGAGAAGCGTCATACCGATAGAATGTGTCTCGGAGTCGGTTACCCGCAAAACTGGTTTAAATCCTGCCGACGAAGAATACAGGGATATTCTACTGTTGGAACTTCTTACGTGGTTTAAGCAGGACTTTTTTACATGGACCGATAAGCCTGCCTGTACACTATGCACCGGAAACACTTCATTTAGAGGTTTGAATCATGTGCAGTTTAGTCATCTTTATCGACCACAATTTAAACTGTTTTTATTTTTTCTTATTAGTTTTCTTAAATGCGACATTTTGGAATGGGCCTAAACCCAGATTAGCGTAATAATCAATCGGAGAAATGACTGTCTAAATAGACACTGCATAGAATGGTTTTAAAGGGACCAGATTTCGACTGGAACTGCCAGCTTTGTTCGGCATAAAATGATTTGTTTGCAGCTTTTTGTTTATGATGTTATCCGTCATTTGAATTAGCAGTACTGATTCCAGCATGTCCAGCTTTCAAAAGGCCTGTTACACTTTGTGATTTATCTTCCTCGGCGGAACCTGTGATGATCTGATCTGCGTGGATATCTCTTTGTTGGCATTCAGCGAAGCGACTTATCGAGCAGTAGTGAATTCTTAGGTTTCTTCGGTAATAACTAACTTATACGTGGAGAAATATGCAAAGACAGCCGTCGCTTCCTCATCGTCAGGTCCATGTGAGGGATACGATACGATAGGTGGCGAATCGTCATTGATTCATTTGTAATGTGCCGGAGTAACGACATGAAGAAGTTTCTGAACCACGAGTACAATATGACGCCTAAATTAGGATGACAACGGAGGAAGAGGAAATCGGTGTAGTTCCGTTCCTGGATTATAAGGTTAACCATTCATCCACTGGCTCGTTTAAAATAACTGTGTCAATTCACACCTTTCACTACCTGAATTTAGCGTCAAACCAGTTCTTGGCAACGAATGTTAGAACGACAATGATTTTACTGAGGTAGGGACGGTTGGATTTCTATGGAAAAGATAGATTACTAAATGCACTGAATGTAAGGCGATCCTAGTATTTCGCTCAAACTCTGCGGTGCCGTTGCTGGAAAAGGTGGAATCAGAGCGTTTAAACTGGTCTACTGTTTCACTGCCCTGAAACAGTTACAGCTCTTTGTGTCATATGAATACTTTTCAACTACTGACCTTTGCATGTTAAGGTCAAGATGAACCTGGCATTCTCAGCTGCGTTTTATACAGAAGTTTTCTGTGACGAAGCCCGCTTCCGGGCTACTTATCAGGACAGCACCATCGGTGTATTCCAAGATATAAAGTCTATTTTCTGGATATCTTGAATTATGCTTCCCTTCAAAAATTAGACATTTGTCTTTGCTCAGGTCAGCACTGTTTCGAAATCGAACTTCGAGAACAGTGTTGAATAGCAAATGTCAACTGCATGTTTAACATTTAATCACTCAGATATTTTTTCTTTAAAGACACGCTTTCTTCTTCCAAAATGGAGACGATATGCGATTAGTTCTTTCTTAACAGTTTAAGATTTTCCACATTGGGAGGATGCATCTTACCGAATGCAGCACAGATTATGATAATGACATGGCAACTGAACTGAGTCGTTAGTACTGCTTTATGGTTCTTTGAGAACCAAGCTTTGATCAGAGATGGGAGGCACGCCAGTCGCCTTGTACTGCTGTCCCTTTTGCCAAGCAATTTTAGTTTTTGCTGGCCCACTTTACAGTCACCTTTGCTCTTGAGGAGATCAAACTTTATCGTCCTTCACAATATTGCTCGATCCTGTTTTGCTTGCCTAGCCGCCCTCCATCCGAGTTAGCCACATTACTTCACTTTATAGACGCTGTACTCGCATTCGAAAGATCATTTCGATTCCCGGCCCGATTCATTATCCTATTATCCCTCTACAGTAGATGAATGATTACCGTATGTGAAAAGGATACGCGATGCTATAAATGATAAAGGCCATCTGGTTGCAGATATGGTCTTCAAAACTGAAGCATTTTTGGCTGGTAGTATTAAAATGGTGGTCAGCGCTGCACCATAAACTACTAGTCGCACCAATCATAAAGATTAAATTTAAATTTACTTTCCTTTTTGACTTACTTTCTTTTCTCTAAGTTGCGACTTTAGGAGATAGTAGCGGCGATTAAACGATGCATAAGAAGGGCGTTTACCATAAACAGTTCCCTTTTCAAATGTTCTTTCATCTGGAATCTCTTTTCCAGATATCTTTCTTTCCGTTCGTGTCAGGCATGCACCGCCGCTCTGAGTTGGAATCGTGCCTTTATTGCCTGTGTTAAATGTTTTGCAGGTTCACGCCATTTCCTTTTATTTTCTGAAAAAAGTAATCAACTGAAATATCTGAACAATTTCTGTTGCTTCCAGAGATTTACACGGCGTATGCGCATCGTCCCCTTGTTTTTAGTGGCCTATGAGACTGTTTAAGCAGGCCAGCGCTCCGTGGTATTTTAGCACCTGCAGTGCATGGACGAAAAAGAGCATCACTGGGCAGGGCCGAACATAATCATGTTCGGTTTTGCCTGCGGATACCACTGTCCGTAGACATATTTATGCATAAAAGTATGGGACAGTGCGCATACGCCATGTAAATTCGGAAGTAACAGAAAATCTTATTATCTGACCGACGGTATCAAAAACTAGCAGTTTTTCAAGTAAACCCATAAGATCGATGTTTTTTATCTGAAGTATCTAAAACCCGATGTTTGTTTTCAGTCTTCGATGCTTTGTTGCTACTAATAGTTTATTGCCAACTATCCGGTAAGCAGGCGCTTTGTTTTTAGACAATCTGACTCCAACGCAGGCTGAAATGATTAATGGTGCCCAGCGCGTTGAAGGCTACCAGTGTGAGAACTGCCACACCATATATCGTTTTCCGCGATATAATAATCCGAAAAAGTTACTGCAGACTCGGTAAGTTTGACAGGTATTTCTGCATTTGTTTAAATTGCTTCCAGTAAACCTTGAACTGAACCATCTGTGAGCTTACTCATTGTGTTTTCACATGCTGCTTTCCTAGTTTGCACAGAGCATCCCTGATCCCGTGTACATTCTTACACAAAGTAAAGGTTTGTTGTGCTTGTCACGGATATGCTTGTATAAGTACCTTTTTGTAAATCTTAAATATCGGAGATATTCCATATATTGTCTTCAGGATACGGACCCGTTTATTTATGAATATATTATGTAAATTTGTATCAATAGACTCTTCATACAACATTAATTAAACCTGAATTCGTTTCTAAGTTTAGTGTTCTTTCGAAACTGCTGAAACAAGTTCGTCAAGGAATCGTGTTTTTCATAAACAGTTAAAGAAATAAATGCACAATCTGAGCGGCAGATCGAAGTACGATGAAAATAGAAAAGAGCTGCATGAAATTACGATCAGATTGTTTGTCGAATTGCATTTGTAACGAATGGGTGTCGAAAACTAATCGCAGATATAGGTTGCTACCTTTATTTTCAGTATCTGCTGATTAGCTCTTTTCTTATTCACATTCTGTTTTACTTTGTGCTGTACTTGCTAAATAGTTCATTATAACGTAATCTGAAGGTAATTTCGCGTTTTGTTTTTTTAAATGACTTTTGGTACATTTTATTTTGCCGTGTATTTCCTGAGACGTGTAATATTAAACATGCTGTAGAGTAGCTAATCTTACACTAAACATTGGCCTCTTAAACATGACTTATAAAAATGTTTTATTTTCCAAGCATCACGACTAGCTGTTTTACCTTGTTAAATTCGTCAAATATTTTAGATCACCATAAGCTCAAATTCTGTGTGTAACTTATTTCTGTTTTGTATAGAACTGGACGCTGTGGAGAGTGGGCAAACTGCTTCGCTTTGTGCGCCAGATCACTGGGCTATGAGGTTAGGTGAGATTTCCACTTTTTCTATTTAACATTGATAATGATCTGGTTGTTTTCAGCTTTGCTTCTGTAAATTTGTCGAAATCATTCAGCATCTCATTAATTCATAATATCTGGACGAGTTTAAGCATGAGAGGGAGCTAAGGTTTCTTCATAGATTTGAACCCGTTGCCAGTTAAGCTGTAACATGCATCAACTTTGTGCCGGTTTTTTGCCTGCTGTTCACGACATGGTGGACTGTTGTTTTCATGAAATTGTGAAGAAACTTTGGATCAGATGCCGACAAGTTTTCTAATCCACAGTCTGTTGACGACCGTGGAGCATTCTTATCCGTGATGCAATTGCAACCAAGAAATAGCTGACAGGACTTGTCGGTGTGCTTATTAACTTGTTTTGCGCTTTTCTAATATTTGTCTGTTACACCTAGTGCTCATTAAGTCTTTAAGTCAGTCTGTGAGATCAAAGTATACGGTAAATTTGAATCTTGCCTGTCGAGCACAAGTGCATTGTTTTTTAAGTTCCGGCATAACCCTTTAATGGCATCACACTGTCCTGATTATTTGCCGGTTCCATATTTGTCAGTTTCTCAACTGGATTCATTAAATATCTGCGGTTAGAGGTATTCCTTGCAAACGGTAATTAATTGTCAAGAATGTGTTGACATGGCGCTTTTGAATTCAAATTTATCGTTTTCTTCATGTAGAGGCGAATGCATATCATGTCTGCCTTGGCACATTGTCGTTTTGTCTTTTATTGTATATCTCCTCTTTTAATATATTACTCGTTTGATGTTATAAAGGTTGGTTTTCATCATCTAACAATGCTAATAGTTTGTCAGAGATGAAAGGGTTTGTTAAAACGGTGCACAAGCTTTCGCAATTGTTGAGAATACAGAGGCTTTTCTATGTCCTGAAATGTCATCACGTTCAACTAGACTGGTCACAGCTGCCATAATACTGTGTGCGAGGCATTCTGAACGTGCGGTAATATAAGCGTTTGTTAAAGATCTCTGTTTTCATAAAGAATTGCTATAACTTAGATTACGGTTTGTGGCCTGAACTGTGAAGCAGCGACCAAATTAATGTAACAGATTTCTCCTATTCTTTTTCCGAAACTTCCTAGTAAAGTAACGGTCTGTTTGCCGTAGGAGTGAATATGTCTCAATCATTTTTTTTCAAGCAGGTCAAAGCAGTGAAGTATGGAACTTTCTATTTAAGTTTTATTTAGCCGTCGATGACTGGTGATAGGATGAAGGTCTTATAAAACCGTTAGAGTGAAATTAATTTTTTAGTCTGATACTGAAAATAATAGAGATAAAGTATTATTCTATTTCTCAAATCCGCTCTAGGAATTATCTTAGCCAAGTTGCGACAGCCAGGCGTTTCTTGGTACAAATTTTGCGACTGCCGTCGATTTGTGTTTCGCTGAAGCTGTTTTTTAGGTACGTAGTGGATTGGACAGATCACGTGTGGAATGAGGTTTATTCTGAATACCGTAAACGATGGGTACACTGTGATCCGTGCGAAAGTGTTTGCGACAAACCGTTGCTTTACGAAAATGGGTGGGGAAAGAAGCTGACCTACGCCATTGCATTCAGTCGAGATGAAATCGCTGACGTTTCCTGGCGATATTCGAACAACCACTTCGAATTGTGGAAGCGTAGAACTGAATGTCGCGAAGCAAACCTCATAAAGTATCTGAACTTCAAAAATTTTAAAAAGCAGATTTTGCTTTCTCCCGAAAGAAAGGCCAAGCTTAAGGATCGATTTGTCAGAGAACTTGTGGAACTAGTTTATCCACGAACAACTGTTCTCGAAGGTTAGCAAATGCCAAATTTACATTGCGGTTACCATTTCATCCGTAATTATTTTCGATATGTTTCATTTAGGTTTTGCTTTCCCTAGTACATACACAGTGAAACCTTCATATAATGAAACAAAGTATTTTCTGACTCCATTTTATGCGATCTCATTACAGTCTTGTAAAAATTGGGCTTAATATATTCATTTGTAAACAAAATTTTGTGTTTGACCAACCACATTCACGAAGCTTCACTCTCAACCTGCTCTGAAGAAGACCCGTGAGACACAGACTGAAACGTCAGTATTGGTCAGTCACTAGACTGACCACAGTATCTTTTGCGTTGTGTTTAAGTAAACCTTGCTGTTTTTTTTCAGTATGACCACCAACGCACGAACGAATTAACTCTGTACAACGAAAATGTGGAATTATCTGCATGAGTATACTAATAAATGGTCAAGTTGAAGTAGGGAAAACCGGTTCCTGAACAGTTAGTGACGAGCAACGTATTGCTCCAGTAGGTAAAACGATGTGTTGAAATAATATGGACCTGATTTAATGGCTCCCTTGGCACTTAAGTGCAATAAGACTCGGGTCTATTATATCGGACTATTTCGACCATGTGGCTGTAAACTCCGGTTTGATTCGAGTTATTAACATATGGGGATCACCAAGAAGTACTGGCTTATGGGGATTGTAATGAGTTTATCTTAAGCATCATAATCGATTACAGAGAATTTCGTTCATGCATTGCTACTATTGAGAAACAGCGTAGAACATGGTTTATTAATACACAACGCAAAAAATAATATGATCAATCGGACGACTGACCACTACCGACGTTTCAGCTCGTATTTCACGAGTCTAATTCAAAATTGGAAGTAAGTAAAGTTTGGATGTGGAGGGTGGGTTTGGAGCCGGAAGGCTGTAATCTATCTATGTAACGTTTTCTTTCTTACGTTGATTTAATCTGGATAAGTTCCTCGGAGAACTTTTGGCAATTTTTGCTGTATGGTAAGTATTTGAGCATTTCAACAGTTGGTTTTGATCTGTTAAAATGATGAAACAGGTAGTGTAATGTTTTTTGCCCATCATGGTGCTCTGAGTGATGGTCGGGAAAAGAAGCAAATATTTATCAGTTCTCAACATATACCAACGGGTTGTTTTCAGGCGAAGACGTAGGCCGATGTTCAGGTTCATTGCAGTGGCGATTGGAGCGTCAAGAAGTCACGCTTCCTCAGCTAAATGACGTCCACGAGTTTGAGATGTGCGACGACGAATACGCGACAGGCGAGTTCGTACTAGAGTACTACTCGGCGTTCGATGAGTACCGATTGCCGATGCGTTCAGTGAACAGCCGACTTAGCGGATGGGAAACGGGCATATTCAAAGTGCGGAACATCGCCAGGAAGGTTGAAGAAGACTGGAAAATGATTTATCTAGCGAGGAATAACGGGGCCAAAGAAGGATTCCTCATGTGGAAATTCCGATATCTGAACCAGGCAGTGCGGGTGAAAAAAATCTCTCTCATGATTGAGTCGGAAACATTCGAAAATGGCGCCGTCGCGGTGACTCTCGGCTGCGCCAGTTCGCAAGAAACTCTAAAATGTATTGATATTCTTCGCAGTCATGAATTCTCTTTTATTGAAATGTTTTAGGCAATGAAATGAATGAAATCTACCCTTCGTTCAGCGGACATTGGTTCACGGTAAAGGCGGTTCTGTCCGGCGGACGAGGCCCCTGCGCATTTCAGCATGCTCAATTGTTTCGGGTCGGTTTTCAGGCAACGAAGCCGTCACTAGTTCTGCACGTTTATTTTGAACCTCAGTGCCTGCCTTGCTGATTGCAGTTATTTGCTTTTCCATTGAATACTGCCAAACTTATTGCTTGATTACAAGTACAGATAACTTTTATTGGACATTTTAGTAGGTGTTGTTTCAATTGCCATAAGTTTGTTAGCCAGCTTTCGGAACCGTTTTTATGCTCTAGTAGTTGCGAATTCAATTTTTGACAGGGAATTACGGAAAAAATGAAATGTTGTGCTAAAAATGAAATCGTTGAATTAAAATCTGAGCAATTTTATTACAGTAACTATTTTTCGCGCACAGTCTTATTCTGTCCACATACCGCACATACTGAACGAAACGTTGCTCTTGATAGAAGACCTTTTAGAACAAATAATAAGCTAGAAAAGGAAGTAACAGGCCATCGAATATAGGGAACATCATCGCTTGAAAATGGACTTCGCCCACGTAAAAACACGACAACAATGAATGAGATCAAGATTTGGTTGGAGTTTCTAACCTTCTTCAACCAAGTGACGAAACGTAACGATTCTCCCACTTCCAGTCCAGATGCAAAGGTCAGCAGTTCAGTGACGGCGTATTAATTACAGCTCTGGTCAATTTGATCTTATCCATCTGTCGTTTCACACTTATTTTCGGCAGGTGCCAACAAAATGGTTGTTTCCCTTCCATCGTTTCGAAATTGCTTTGATCTCGCAAGTTCTTTGTGTGACCTAATTGTTTTCGAAATTTCCGTCGTATAATCCCGGTTAAGGTTACTGCCCGTGATCTGGATGATGAAGGCTTCTGCGGTACCTTTTCGAATATGTTGGTTTCATCATTATAGGTACCTTCGAGAACCATAGTAATGTGGCAACGTGCCGGTTTGAAAGTAATTTCCCATTTTTATTATGCTACTTCACCTGGAACAGCTCGGTTTGCTGGCTCTTTTGTGCTCAAAGACTGGGGACGATTCGTTAATTGCCATACAGGCAGAGAGCGTCAGTGCGGACGTGCTAATCAATAGATGGGATTACATTCATAAATGAACAGTTTGATTCAAAGCGGCCCCCTACAAACGTATATGCCGTCAGAGTCGATTTGAATGATTCCCTAATAACCGTGGAGCTGGCCAACGAGACGTGCCTTCGCCTACTTTGTTCAAGACTGTTATCGACTTTCTCTGAAACA